ATAGAATAGTTTATATGAATATATATAATAATATATATTTGCAGAAATGCCAGTTAATGCGCGTAATTTTTTGTGACCTTTTAGGACTAATAAAATGCCATAGTTCTTGATATCAAAATAAATAGCACATTTCCTTAAATAAAGCTTTTTATGACTTTAGTGCTAAGTTAGCTGTTAGAAGTATAGTTTTTTAGGAAATGAAAAAAAAAAAAAAAAATGGACCAGTGATGTAAATTTTGAGATATGAATCAAATCATGCAAATTTCAAGCTAAAAACAAAGTAAATTTCATGCTGACTTCCTTAATATATCTGCAACTTTTTGCAAAGTTTTGAAAAAAAAAAGGTATTAAAGTTTTAAAATTATCATTTTGAACTTGCATCCAATTATCTTAGAATATATTTAGGTGAAGTTAAAATATGCAGGGCTAAAATTCCATCATGTTGAATAAATTAAATCTAAACATTTAAGGTCAGACGACACGTTCCTCAATAATACATAATTTTCCCCGAGAATTTGTCATTGAAGTATTGCTACTTTTAAGAAGTATCCTCACAGAAAATTGAGGTACCTTATCGGGCATTTGTGCAAGATACCAGAGGGTAATGTTTCCTATATAACCGTATTTGAAATCATTTGAATTGTCAATATCACAATTTTTGTTGTATTTATATTTTAAGACTTTTTAAAACAAGATGTGTTTGTGAAACTCTGACGACCCCGTATGGCAACTCATAACAAAAGGTAAACTTTCTCAAATGCAAATTAAATATGTTGGTACCCAAAGTAAGGTCTTGTCTCGAGGAATATACTTGTGAAATATGAAAACCCTAGCAGCAATCATTGAATAGATATGGAAAAGGTTAAAGTTTTTTTTAAAAATATGTCAAACATCAAGGTCAACTTCAAATGGTAAAAATTAATGGTGCCCAAGGAAAGGCCTTCTCAGAAGAAATACACGTGAAATATAAAAGTCCTAGCACCAACCGTTCAAAGTTATGGCCAAGGTTAAAGTCTTTCAAATGTAGGTCAAATTCCAAGGTCAAAGGGTAAAAGTTGTTGGTATCCAAAGGAAGGTCTTGTCACAAGGACACATATGTGAAGTGTGAAAGCCCTAGCACCAATTATTCAAAAGTAATGGCCAAGGTTAAAGTTCTTCAAGAGTAGGTCAAATTCCAAGGTCAAAGGGTCAAATTTGTTGGTATCCAAATGAAGGCCTTGCCTCAAGGATTACATATGTGAAGTATGAAAGCCCTTGCTCTAACCGTTCAAAAGTTATGGCCAAGGTTAAAGTTTTGCAAAAGTAGGTCAAACTCCAAGGTCAAGGTCAAAGTTGTTGGTATCCAAAGGAAGGTCTTGTTAAAGGATTACACATGTGAAGTATGAAAGCCCTAGCACCAACTGTTCAAAAGTTATGGCCAAGGTTAGGGTTTTTAAAAGTAGGTCAAACTCCAAGGTCAAAGGGTCAAAGTTGTTGGTCTTGTCACAAGGTATACACGTGTGAAGTATGAAAGCCCTAGCACCAACTATTCAAAAGTTATGTCCAAGGTTAAAGTCTGAACAAATTTAGTAAAAGTGGGTCAAACTCCAAGGTCAAGGTCAAATTTTATGGTACCCAAAGAAAGGCCTTGTCACAAGAAATACATATGTGAAATATGAAAGCCATAGCTCCAACCAATCAAAAGTTACGGCCAAGGTTAAAGTTTTGCAAAAGTAGGTCAAACTCCAAGGTCAAAGTTGTTGGTATCCAAAGGAAGGTCTTGTCACAAGGATTACACATGTTTATGAGGGCATAAAAAGTTTAGAAATCACAATGTAAATATTATGAATATTTTTTATATATTACTAAGAGAAACAGATACATGTATTTGAGGAACGTGTCATCAGACCTTAAAAGAATTTTCTTCTTAGTATCCTTCCACCATAGAAATAGTTCCTAATTAGTCTCATTTCTCGCAGATTTTGAGAGCGGCCCTTAAATTGAATGTCGTACGTTTTTGTTTTTTTTTTTCAAAAAGTCAAATGCATTTGAAAAAAAAGGATAGAGATTCGGACAAAACTTTCCTGAAAAGCAGACACGTTCTACACCCAATCGCATCATCTCGGGTTTTTCCGTCAGAGGTCGAAAACCCAACTTCGAATGTATTAACATCACTGTATGTTAAAAATTTATACAAGACTGGGTCGCTTTCTATTTATTTAAGTATTGGAAAGACAGAGTTACAAGTCACTCCTACAGTATAATTTAGGTAATATCTTTACATTCAATAAAGTTGAGCTCCAAATTCTACAAGAGGTCTCCCTACAATTATTTCAAAGTTTATGGGGGCTTGTCATTGATGCCTACGCAACATACTGGAGGTTGTTTTTTCGCTTGTCGGAAAGGCCCGAGAAGTTTCGATTGGTACTATACCTTAAATGCTCAAAAATGGCACTGATTTTTCTTAATTTAGGCAGTCGCCCGCATTGCGCAGTGGTTAGAGTGTCTGCTCTAGAGTCGCGGAGTAAGGAGTTATCCTTACGTCACGGGTTTGAATCCACTGCGGGACGTGGAGACCGATCCTTCGGATGAGACCGTATAAACTGAGGCCCCGTGTCGCAGTAGGTGTTTGCACGAAAAAGATCCCTCACTGCTCAATGGCCCCGAGTGCCGAGTATAGGTATAAATTTGCAGCCCTCCACCGGCGAGTGGTGGCGTCTCCATATAAGAGTGAAAAATTCTCGAGAGGGTCGTTAAACAACAAACAAACAAAATTAATTGAGGCATTATCGGTTATCTTTCATGTCAATAGCAATATCGAGCCCCATTGTAAATATTGCCACAAAATATTAATTTTAGCACCACCTAAATTTCTTACCCTTGAGCGAGCTGTTCAAGCATTGGTAGTATCGATTCGATCTAGCTGATTCTCCTTTTAGAATTTTGAAAATTGGCGTTAATATGTTGATATTTTTTTCATTTCTATATACTAGTATTCGCCTGCGTGGCGCAGTGATTAGAGTTTTTGCTTTAAAGATTCGAATTCGCGGAGGAGGTAGTTGATCCTTACGTCGCGGGTTCGAATCCACTGAGTGACGTGGAGACGGTCCTTTGGATAGGACCGTATGAACCAATGTCCCATGCTGCAGTAGGTGCTGGTGTGAAAAAGATACTTAACTGCCTAATTGCCGTAAGTGCTGTTTTGCAACCCTTCATCGGATAGCAGAGGCGTGTCAAATTCTCGAAGGGACGTTAAACAATCAAATAGACAAAATATACTAAAATATTTTTATTTAAGGGAAGGGGGATATTACTTTCGTAAAAGAACCTGCTGTCATAACAATACAGTCAATAATTAATTACTCATTCAAAACGATATCAATGTTAAGAAGAAATAAGAAAAATTGCGGCACTGTGTCGGGTCCTCTTAATTTAGAATTGCATGGCTGATAGGTGTTGCCTAAATGCACGAACCAACAAATACATTCCAATATTTGCACTGTCAAAGCGCTCATCTCAAAGCGGTCTTTAAAGGCTTTATTAAGAGGGAATGTATAAGGTAAGTAAGCAATAGTGACAAGGTAATATTGCAAAATGAACTTCTTGAGTTCAGATCACACCTTTTAAACAGAGAATACAAGAGAACTGAGATTGACCCAATTATTTATGAATTCTTTGCTTTAAACAGAGTCATAACGCTACACAAAACAAAGAAATACCGAATACTCTAATTACAAAGTATGACCCAAGAATCAAAGGTGTGAAATTAATCCAAATTATTAAAATACTGGTCATTAGTTTTAAGGCTGAAACATGCAAACAAATCTTTCAAACAAAACCAATGATTACATATGCTAAACGTAAAAGTTTTGGTGATTTGCTTACAGAAGCGATTTTGCCACAATTGAAATTAAAGTTTGATTCCTGATGAAGGCGGAACCGTGATTTAGATTTTTGATACAATACGATATTAAACCACCGAAACACATTGCTGTCATATCTATAGAGTCAATAATTAATTACTCATTCAAAACGATGTCATAAGAAAATAGAAAAATCGCAGTACGGAAGCCCATTCAGGACCTATCAAAAATATTTTTGAATTCGATATACATGTAAAGAATTGTCGAATTTGTTACATGTATAACGAATTTAATTCGTTAAAACGAATTCCTTAATTTGTTATAACAAGTAAAATTCGTTAAAACGAATTCGACAAATCGTTACATCGAATTCATTTATGTTTTTCTATAGGCCCCGATTGTTGAATTTGATTAAACACATTTAATTCGTTATAACAAATTTTAGAATTCGTTTAAACGAATTTAATTCGTTATTATAAATTTTTGAATTCGTTATACCAAATTCAATAAATTTGTTATAACAGATTAAATTCGTTATAGCGAATTCCACAATATTCTATATATCAAATTCAAAAATATATTCTGGTAGGTCCTAAATGGGCTTCCGTATCGCAGCACTGTGTAGGGTCCTCTAAATTTAGAACTGCGTGGCTGATAGGTGTTGCCTAAATGCACTTTCAATTAATCAATGGGAACGAAAAAAGCCATAGGCAATTAAATTATAATACTGTGAAAGATACGGTCATGTACTTATTTTTTTCTTGAGATGCTACCACTTTATTGAAACCTTATGAATGTAACGAATTATTTGAAAGATATAATGATATAAACGGTATTAAAATATTATACGAAACGAAATTTTCAACTTTATTATTCTGTTTAGTTGAAGCGTTCCGATAGTTTGACCTTTGTGCGACTTTTAATATGTAAAATGTTTCGTTGCATTTCTTCTAAAGCTAATTTTAAGCAAATACTAATTATAGGTATATGATAAGTTTTTTTTTTTATATCTTAGTATTTGATAACCATCTAATATCTATTCACAATATCTTAACAATATTAACAATATCCTGAAAAATCTATCAAGATGTAAGGTACGGTGCGTACGTACGACTTTAACAGACCAGGAGTGGAATATCATGTCCGATGTTAACAAAATCTTACAAGGGATATCTGTTACACAAGCGCGCCGAATACAATTAGCCCCTAAATTTTGCTCGTGTTGACGATTTCTCTGGATTGATGTTCAGGTCCATTATATTCAGAATTCTTCCCAACATGACGTCCATTCATTTTTTCTTGTCGTGTAACACAAACAGCTTGCATATTGTTGGTTGGGGTAGACGAAGTCAAGGAACAGTTCGAGACACTGACCGGATCTGGGACATAGATGTCAATTTCTGAATTTGCCCTTTCGTTATCAGGATTTTTCTGACCACAAATGACTATCAAACGATATAGGAGCAACAACATTACAAGAGCGTTTTTAGCAGTGAAGAAAATAATAGCATAGTTGACAAGATGGTAAGTGATAATAACAAATAATCTGATCGTCAAGAATGGACCATCTTGCATACACATGGTTACCATGGTGCTCCAGACTTCACTCGAGACACACTTCTCGCAGCCTCCTTTTCTCCTTCGTTTTCGGATGCCTGGGCCAGTCTCCTCATCGGAATCAGGAAGTGCTACGCGGGGTTTATTTGAATTCTTGGTCGCAGTTAACACGAAACAAAACTGAACTAGGCTGATGGTCCAGATGATCAATATGGCGTAGGTCAATTCGAGATTTTTACGAACAACATCTTCATCAAATAAGGTGAAGAACTCCGTGATATCTGAAGCTATTCCAATGAAGACAAACAAAAGCTGGGAAAGTTCATTTCTCGAAATTGTTCCGCGCGGTAATAGCCATCTTCCAACGATCATAAAATAAAGTAGAAATTGTTCAATCAATAAAACCCAAGTGTCTGCAGGTAACGAAATGGGAATGGACACCTAAAAAATAGAATCAGTTATAGATTTGTTTGTTATATAAATCAATTGCAAGTCATTTAGATCAGACCTGTAAAAAAGTAGCGTACTCCAGGATAGATTTCAGCTAGGGAGTCCGTTGCCGTGGCATTGTTCACTCCATGCTTGACAGCCATGTAACGCTCTCGTCTATCCAGTTCCAGAAGCCAGATAGAGGGAAGAGTGCCTCCAAGGTAGAAAAAGAAACATGGACAAAACCTTTAACAGAAAATATACAATGAAGTGAAATTGTGATACACTTGACTGAATTCAAAGTTATTTATTGACTTGAATGTCATTGATATTTAGGAAACTTAAAATGTTTAAATTTCAATACATATATACATGTACTAATATATTACAATTATGGAATCGATTTTTTGTGCTTTAATACTGGAAAATTTAAAGAGAAGTATACTTATGTATCATTATAAAAATGTTGGTTTACTATAGTGATAACTTTGACACATGGATTTACTATGGTGATCACTTATAATTATTATTATACCTCAACTGTTATTACTCTATATAAAATTAATACCATAAAACTGTCCATTTCCCTGAGAAGATACTATTTCCCTCATCGGAGGACTACTTTCTGAAAAATAGGAGCTACTCCCTGGGACTACTCCCTAAAGAATATTTATTAATAATTTTAACCAATTAAAATGAACAGTGGGCGGAGCGTTCAAGGAATCTCGGGTCTGTGACGTAATATTATTAGCAATGTAAATATAACGTCAAAACATTTTGACATGCAATGTCAAAATCGTACTGGAATTCTAGCAAAATGAAGACAACGATAATCCTTCGAAGTGTCAGTGAAATTATTATATATTTTTTAATAATCTTATTTTCCTCGGTATTGATGCATTAGTTATCTTACAATATTTTTAATCACATGCAATTGTGATTATTTAAATGCCTCTATATTGTTTTTAGAAATGTTCGAGTCCCATGATTGTTTCGGTATAATAAAACAGTTATAGAATGAGTATGAGGGAAATTGCAAATTTATGGTTCCCCTCGGCAGGAAACTATTTCGCCGCCTCGGGAAATAGTTTCCTCCCTTGAGGAACCATAAACCCCTACTTATTAACCAACACTGAAAAATGGAATTGCCGATTTACAGTACCATTCTTACAGTCTTAATCTAGCTCTATGAAAATTTTCTTTAAAAGGTGTTTTCAAAGAAGCCATAAAGCACTATTCCGATGTTTTCATCTGTTAAACAAAATGCGACTTTTCAGTTTACTGAACATTTCGAGATTATGACGCAATTTCATGAGTTATGACGTCACAAACAAGAAGCCCAAGGGCCTTAACGTTTACATGAGTATAATATACATTGTAAGTATAAAAAAACTAAATAAACTGACAGATGAAGATTTGTTCCCACGAAGCAAGATAAATAGGATGATCTGGGATTAACAAAATAGTCTAGTACTCAGTAACAAATTATAAAGTAGATCTATTTACTTGCCTGTACTTTCCAGTACTAAATACACTCACATTTGCCTTATCATCATGCAGACTAAACATATATAACATACATGCTTGGGCTCACTTAATAAACCCATCACATTCGAATTCTCTATTACATGGGGCTCTGAATTTCACAATTTTTGGATAAGGCATTCTTGCTCATCATGCACTCGGTTTATCTGTTACAAACCCAGGAGCAGAGAAGATTTTCAAAGAATTAATCCATTTTCACTATATATATAATAAATCGAACCCCTGACCCAGCGCATGTGAGTTAAGGCTAAGTATAGGTTTTTCTTTGCAAATGAGCTAATAATATGAGTGGAATGTTGGTTTGACATTAGCATTCAAGTATCTTATCTCCTTGTCTTCCTCTAGATTCACTACCAGAAATTCATGTTGATTTTCTTCATTCTGTCTAGGAAAAAAGCCACTTGGACCACTCTATCACAGACTTTATTGCAGATATCTAGCAGAAATAAATCTTGTGGATTCGTCTGCTGGGTTCTGTACATATCCCCACTGGTCAGGACTTCAGTATTTTCGTATTTTGTCAACACGGTTTGTATTTGTAAAACCGCTCGGTCTCATTTCCAATATTACCCAAGACGACCTTACTATCAGTAAAGTATTTTACTTAGCGAAATTCCATCCCAAGCTCGTCCCTGATAATGTCACTGATTTCTGTCCATAGTAAGGCAGCGCACAACTCGAGTCGTGGGATAGTGTGACCGTGTTTCGGAGCACTTTTAGCATTCCCAAGCACAAATCCAAAATGACGCTGATTGTCGTTGGTGGTAACAACATATGCCACAGCTGCAAAAACTCATTCAGAAGTATCTTATATATCATCACTTGTTCAAGAGAGCTAATGCTGATTTTCCATGGTTGAAGATTACTGCAGAATCCTCTGGTAAGGGTTGGTCTCATTCAAATGGTTGGGCTTCTCGTAATATTAACTTTTCTGCAATGATCACAGGAGTTGCAAACCACAAAGGATCATAAAGACCATTGGTTATGGGTAGCACACGACGTCGTGTATATGGTTTTTCACTTAAAGTTACACAAAATGTTTAAGCAACCTTTTCTAGATTCCAACATACTCCCAAACTCCGCTGAATTGGGGGGGGGGGGTCATATGTCGAGTTTCTTTAAATCTTTCGCCAGATCGTCCTTGTCGAAGGCTGCTACACGTAACACTTCAATGGAGTTCGAGCATGATTTGTGAGGACGCAGGTAACCCTCTTCCTGAAGAGTGTTTTTAACCTTGGGAAGTGTTATATTGCTTCCTTGGTAGACTTGTGCGATAAAAGTGGATCGTCCACATAAAAATTCTGATAGATTTAGTCCTTGACATCTGAGCCAGCAGTTCTTCCTGCGACATCTGCAGTCTTCCTTATATATCAGGTTTCTCTTTCACTGCTCTTATCTCAGATAGAATGTCAGATAGTTCAAACATCTTGCGTCTGTCCTTCACCGCCATCTTAGGAACATAATTGAGTTTCTTCTTAAGTGCAACTTCGATCTTTCCAGGTTAGCCATGACGACTGTCCAAATGCTTCCAAACTCGGTCGAGAGCTGCCACAGGACTTCCTGTATTCGCCACTTTCAAGCTTTGAACTTGCTTTGAGGACTCATCTCCTGCCAAACGGAGTAACAGGTCAAGTTCTGCTTGCGAAGCATCAATCTCAGCAGCTACACTCTTAAAGATATATATTCCAAGAAATGTGGTGCTCTGCTTTATCATCATACTTGTGAAACCTTGTTGTCTGTAGGTTTATCTTAACAAGATATTTTGCAAAGTCTTTACTCTGAGAATTGTCTGCAAACTCAGAATTTTTATGCACCATTGAGAATTGTTCACACACAGAGTTTTGTTCATAGGTCCATTTGTTGTCAAAGGGTTGGGTTGCTGATTCTGACAAGAAATGAATAGTGAATGCGCCTTCATATACTCCCCCTTTCTTTTTTGTGCTTTGGATGGTTAAAATGGAACAATTTTTGTTCCCTTTTACCAATAAATGCTAGATGCTACATGTAACATTGATTGAAATTGGTTCAGTGGTTCCAGAGAAGAAGCTGAAAAACAGCAATAGGTCACCTGACTCAGGTGACCAAAAAATACATAAGTGATGTCATATAATGTGCATATTTTCCTTCTCTTTGGAATGATATCCAACTCATTAAATTAATTGTTAAATGGTTAATATTTTATCAAATCATTCTCAGAACTTTCCAAATGCCCTATTCAGTTAACACTCATCTCAAGTTTTGAAAAAACAAAAACAAACACAAAAACGTAGAAGTACCATTTTGAGATCTAGGGACAACGATGATCGACAGGAACTTTACCATTTCATGTCCTCTCTTGATTTATAGAAAGAGCTAAATATAAAGTTGAGGTAATTATAATTTCAATGCCTTTGACCGCAACCGCGTTATCATGTACATAAATGCAGAATGCTTGTTGAAATACGAATATGTAGAATAATTCCTTATGTTCATATATTTAACAAATTTTGTACATGAAGTCTATTCATTTATCGAATATAATGATTTTTAAACAAATAGGCAGTAAGCATAGTCCTGTAATTAAGTTTATTGATTTTCTTAACCTAAAGGGAATATAAACAATGCTTTCATTAATTCTTCATTTTATTTTTCTAGCTAATATTTGTTTAAAATAATAAACATTTCATTATAGCCAGGAAAGAATGACTTGATTAATTTATAACTAGAAAACTGACACAGTCAGAAAGGGTACCGCTAAGGGCTGTCAAAAGGAAAAGAACAAATATACCTAATTCAATAATGTTATTGGGAAAATGCAGCAGATGAAAGTGATACACTCGCATACGTGTGTGAGAATTATAAATATTTAAAGATACAGACAAATATACAGGTGTACATGCAGAAGAGAAACTATATTATCACATTTATTTGAATTTTTTTTATATATAATCAATTCCTTTCTGTATAAAATTTGAAATTCTTACAATGAAATCTTTTTGGACTAATTGTTACACGATCGATCGATATATAATAAGACAGTCAGACATACAAAACGATATACCTACACATATATTGGTTTCCCACTCTTATTGTAAAATATCTATAAGTACAGAATTTGAAAACGTAAGGTTGAAAACTATCTAGGTTACAGCTTCACAAGGAAAGTGTATATATATAGTTTATAGCTTAAGCTTATACCTATGGATAGGGTCAATAAATACCAAAGTTATAAATTATATCACTTTGCCAAATTCTACAATTAAATTACATATTACTTTAATATACAAATGCAGTTATTCAAATTACTTTAAGTAATTAATTAAAATTAAAATTACATTGTATGTTTTCAAAATTGTATTAACAAAGGTTTAATATTCATTACATACGAAGTACATGTCGCATTTGTAAATAAAAATAACAATAATATTCCCAAATCAACACCAAAGAATTTTCCATTTAATCATAGGTTTTTTTCCCCTCAAATATTAGGCCATTCATATAGCAATGGTGGGTGAAGGATCTTTCCAGCTATCCTTTGCACTTTGTCTTATAATTATTGGTTGTTTGTTAATTGTTGTTTAACGTCCCTCTCAAATTTTTTCACTCATATGGAGACGCCGAAGGGCTTAAAAATGTATTTATCAGCCATTCTCAACTTTGAAGTTTTAAGAATAAATAATACAAACTTTTTTTCAGGAATAAGCAATATATAAAATAAATTTATATTTATAATGGTAGTTTGAGTAAGTTTGGAAATTTTGAATAAGATTTCGAATAATGTCACAAAATGTGTGCAAACAATAGTTTTTTAAAGAAAATGTTACAGAATCGCAGAAATGTTACAGAATCACAGAATGGTATTAAAACACCAAAGAAAATTGACATTTTTTTAATTTAAGAAATTCATATTTATGTCATTTCATTTCAAAATCATCAAAAAATAAATATCAATCCACGCATCAATTTTTTTGTTTGTGATATCCATCCTTAAACATTAAACTTATGTGTTTGTACTTAACTCTTAATGACCATCACCCCTGAATAAAGCATGCTTCTTATAAGGACATTTAATGGACAGCCAGGTATATAGGAGGTGTCAGTGATATGTTGTTTTAACCCCCAGGCATGATGAGGATGTTTATAAAAAAGTGAAAATAACGAAGAGTGATCTATCTCAAACAAAACCTACATAATTTATACAAATCTGATAACAGGGCATAAAACACGGACACCCGGAAACTACAGACTGAGGTGGAATCAGTTGCCAAGGACGAGTAAGCATCCCCTGTCGACCGGTCACACCCACCGTGGGCCCTGTGTATAAATCAGGTAGTCGGAATATTACATAGTCAAATTTAGTATAAAAACAAAAGCCCATCAATTGGTATGAAATGTATAATGCAAACATGCACATATAAAAATATGCTAACACCCAGTACAGATGATTTAAACATACATGTATGACTATATACTCTTGAAAAGTTTACTTTGTTATAATCAAAAATAAAACTAATTTATAATTAAATATATTAATATTTATTAATAAATAGTAGGTAATCTGTTCACAGAAAAAAGAAAGAATCCTACATTTAAGTTTTTATTGTAAGATTAGACTTTAAGTAATTGAAATGTAATAATAAATATAATTGTAATTACATGTCATTTTGCAATTCAATTAATTCAATTATCATTTCAATTACAAATTATTTCCAATTACCATTTCAATTACAAATTATTTCCAATTACTTAAAAATTTGTAATTACATTCAATAACACTTGCTTTTTTGGATTACCCCATCCCCACTTAGTGCTATGTAGATATATATATATTTTTTAAAATTGTTCTGATTTATTTTATTGTGCCACGATGAAAATACATTCAGGCATGCATACTGACGGAACAACGAAGTAATATGACCATTAGATTTATAGGAGTTTTTCTCTTACAGTACATAAAATTTCAAAATATTACGTTGAAAACCCTTTTTGAATTATTGCGACACAACAAAAGTGTTAAGGAAATACATTCAAATGACAAACAGACAGACAAAATAATTTGCTGTCAGAATCTAGGGATGACTTGCTCTTATGGTAAAGAATTTGTAAACATCATTATGTTGAAAACCATTTGTTATCGCGTCACAACAATTGTCATGGATATAATGTTAAACTTTAATATAAAAAAAACTGACAAAGAAATATGACCCAAAAATCTATACGTATTTGCTCTTGTAGTAAAGTTCTGAAAAAGGTTCATGGCACCTGACCCTAACCTCTGATGTTTTTAGAGGTCCGTGTTTGCTTTTCTCCCGATTTGTTTTGTTTCAGTGGACTTTTGAGCTTGATTACTCTTCGTTATCTCCTTATTTCATTGAAAACTGCTCGAGTTATTGAGTCACACCAAAAGTGTTGATGAACAGCTAGCTAGACGGACGATGTAATTCTCAAAGAGCTCCTTCATTTCATGCCAGGCCCGAATGAAAAGGTGACCATTTCACATTTACTTATCATTCCAAGTGTCCTTAATAATGGGTAGGAAAATTAAAAATGGAAGACGAACTCCCTTACTCAAGTGTTCGTAAGAAATACAAAGAATTTTATCGTGCCCGTTGACTAAGAAAAAGCAAATCAAAGGTTGTTTATTTTTATGGTTTTTTTTTCCCTGTTTTATTATGCAATGAAGATGGGTTGATATTTTCCTTATCAAATTACAAAGAAATCAACTTCAGCGATGGTTAGTTTTCAATCTCATCTAGCAATATGTAAAGAAACGAAAATCTCTCTTACCTAAAAAGCGACATAGAATTTATTAATTTTTTTATTTTGTATTTTAATAAATTTGTTTATTTATTTTAATTAATATAATTGCTTTCCTTCTTAACTCTTACAAATCCAAAAAGAACTCATTTCATATTTACTGAGTGAGAATGTGACAAAATAAAACACGTGTAAAATTGAAATCATACCACTGGCATTTTGATGAATTATCCCTGCAACAGTATACGCATGTATATTTTATTTATTGCATCAAGTACATTTTAGTTAATTCATTTTCTATGGATTCCCAAAAGTATAAATAACAGTTATGAATATTTATAACATGCATTTTTCTGCCAGACCCTAAGAGAGAGAACGTTCTCGGGGACTTCGAGCTGTTTTTTTTTCTCTCTCTATATATAGATATATGGTTTAAAGGAAGTTTAACTAAGCACCTTTTTTAGACATTAGAAAAGATTGATTGATTGTTTTTTTACGTTCCATTCGAGAATTTTTCACTCATATAGAGACGTCGCCATAAACCGGTGAAGGGCTTCAAAGACCTTTACTCGCCATTGAGCAGTGAGGGTTCTCTATCGTGCCAATGCCTACCATGACACGGGTCCTCGGTTTTTAAGGTCTCATCCGAAGGACCCGCAACTTCAAAGTGAAGGAACAGTTGCTACCAATTTTTTATCGACTTAGGTCAGTCGCGGCATAAAAGAAGGATGTACTGAGTCAGCCCAATACGACTTTTCTATCTCCCCAAAGTAAAACGGGTGGTTACTATTATCGTAAAAACGTATACGCTCTTATCTTTTCGAAGCAAAGATGCTAGAAGACCTAATAACTTGCCCTTACGTGTGTGCGTTGTTTACGGTGTCAATAATTTCGTGGACATTGTGTAGAAGTACAATTTTTGCACTCAGACTTTCTAAAGAAGTAGTTAGTGTCCAGCAGAGAAACAACTACCACTAAATAACAAAAGGCCAGTTTAATTTATTACAGTGTTTTAGACTTTATAACGTGTTCTGCTCACGATGTGGAGTAGAAGTAGAGTTTGATCTGACCTTTCATACTCAAAGAAAGAGATGCAAGTAGCCTATAAATTCCAAGGTCAAAAGAAAAAGTTGAAGGCCACTAATCTTCTATCAATAACATTCAGTATGTTGTTAACATCATACAATGTATATATGAGAATTTCCGATTTATTCGCCCCAGTATAAAGACAATATATTTTCATTCGCAGAGTTTTAAAAATTTAACCTGAGAAAAGAGTTTGAGGTTTAATCTGATCGTAAATCATCTAATGTACAAGCAGCAAGCATAATTACATGTCATAATGCGAAAACAATCAATAGCCAAGACATCAGGGAAAAACTCATGATCAGTTACTGCTAAGATAATGGGACAGTTCTGTTCTTTTATTTTAATGTTGATAACACATATCTAATTGTTTGAAATAATAAACTTAATTTATGATATCAAAATTCATAATTGGGTTTTGCAAGAGGAGATGATTAATTTCTGCACGAATATGAATAAGTTTAAAGATATTAAAAGCTACTAATAGCTCTTTGCCTGGTATGTTTAAGAAAGAGTTGATTTTAGCGACGTCGACATTAGGCAGATTTATGACCAATATCTTTTGTTTTTATATCATAATATTCGTAAATCGGTTACTTCTGCATGATCCGCTCTTTTTTTGGAAAGGGGGGGGGTATTGTTTAATTATGTAAATTATAGCTTAATTATTTCTTTCACTCTGAACAATACTTACGTTTATGGTAACATGAAGAACTGATAAAATGTTAAATATAAATGAAATGCTCTTGTGCACGCGTTTTCACAATCTGGGCATAATGAACTAAGTTCTTCCATTTCATAAACTATTCATGAACTAGATAGTTAAAAAAAAATCTTTCTTATTCAGTATCTTACCATTTATACTCCATCCCCTTCCTCTTTATGATGGTTATCAATGCTTCAATGATAAAAGCAACATCCGCAACTGCCAGCAACCACAGCCACATATTGTTTGAAATACTAACAGCTCTCCACACAGCCAATATACTGTGCACCAGCAACACAACCCGCACTAAGGACGCCTTTACAATATTTATGAATAACATAGTAAAATAAGTCCAAACGGGTTCAGTAAAAATACTGGATATCTATTAGATGTAAAGGGGACTAAATTATATAATCCCAACAGTGGTGAAGTACATTCTTTCACGTCTAAACTGCACCCATTGTATTTGCAAATCACGACTAATATTTGTTCAAGTGCAGTTAACGAGATAATTTCAATTTTCCATCCATCAATTGTTATTCATCAGTATTGAAAGAACTGGGAGGAAAAATAATGGAGGTCGCAAGTAGCTAACGAGTTTAAGGTGATTCTGTTAATATTTAATGTGTGCTCGTGTGACGCGGGCAAGAGAACCCCCGATGACGTTCTTGAGTTTGAAAAGATTGGGAAGACTGTCGATTTTTGCCATAGTTTATACACCACATAAAACACCATGTCAACATTCATTTTGCCTGTGGAGGAATTAATTATTGGCATCTAGAATTTCTAATTAAACGGATCGAAAATACACTTAAATCTAATTATCACAAACCAACACAGATTTTCTAATCTGCCTGCACTTAACGTGACTAAGAAAATAAACAGCAGGTTCCATTTGGGATGACGAGAATCAGTTAAAAACAAAGAAATACTCATTACAAAAATGTGTGTACAAGGGTATGATAAAATGTATCCTCTTACTAGTTCGTTTAGGTTTTAAAATTTGATCAGTTTGAAGTTATACGTAAACACTTATAATTATCCTCGGACTGGTTCTCTTTGGTTTTAAAATTTGATCAGTTTTAAGTAATACGTAAGCAGTTGAACTTCTAACTTATACAATCTATTTTTAAGTTATGTATATGAAGACAATAATAAATAATATTTCCTCTATTCATCTAGGTTTATTCACCCGATTTCCTACAAAAGTTATTGAACTGTCAGTGAAAAAGAAACAAAAAGTAGACAGAGATGCGTTGGTTTAATGACTTGGTTGTTAATACCCTTTACCTCTATTAACTGGTAATATGTTTTGCAAAGTGCCTTTGTATTCTTTGAAAGCATATGGAATTCTTTAATATTTATCCGTAACTTGATATTTAGATACGGCCTATTCATTGTTTTAATATCATAATAATAAAATCTCACTGCATTGCATTACCGAAAATTTTGAAGACTGGTGGGTTACCTTTACCGAAAATATTTTCTTTTATTTCCGAAAGAATGTCAGATATCATTAACGAAATTTTAAAATGAGATACTGGTTGAGGTCTACAAGTTGGTCAGAGAAAGTTAGCATCGAGAGATACAGTGACTTTGTGCTGGAGCCATGTCAAGCCAGCATTATATTCCACTTTTAGCTACAAGTACTCTGCAGCAGCTGATATGAGAATTTTCATGTTGAAGTTTACAAGCGTTTGATTACAGTTTAAACTCAAATGTTAATACGCATCCCCCCCCCCCTTCCCGAAAGTTGATTATCAATTTAATTCATAAAAACTATCCTGATCAAAATCCTCTTCCACCTCGTCATGATCATATAGTAAGACAGGGGAACATTACAACTAATAGAAGAGGTATAAAGATAGATTAATTTAAGAAATTCTATGTATTGTTTCGGAAATTATATAAATATGTTTTTGTTTCTGATATATAAATATTTTCGGTATTGATATTTTTTGTTAATGCATTATAGACTTTACTCCATAGAATTCAAGAACGAAAACTGTACAGATGACATTAAACATGGTTTCTTTAAATAGATCTTAAAATATATAATATTAAGTCATACTTTTTTGCAGCTGCTTACCTCTTTGAGACAATTAAGCTCGATTTAAAATACGTTTGCGTCATTAATTAAATATATGTAACTTTTCTTACATAACTTAATAGTCATTTTTCTACTGTCAGATTGTACGTGTGTTTAGGTAAGTGTATCGATTCTTATAATCTGTCTTGTAATATGCTTATAAAAACCTCACATCTGAGGGCTCGGAGTGCCTCTGACTTTTATGTAAGATATTTGGAAAGAAAATCAACGAATCTTCCACCATTTTGCATTGTTGTTTGCTACAGGTAGTAATCCAAGAAATCTGCATCCATTTTAATATTTGAACCTAAATGTCGTATATACATGTTGGCATGAGTATTGAATTAGTAATTATTGGAATCATAATTAAAAGAATTTGCTTAGTGGTTCTAAGTGCAAAGATAATCACTTTCTCTGTGAGTCCATATGTGATAATACAAAGGGAAAAGAATTAAAATGTGAACACACTCATTGACCGATAAAAACTATCGATTGCGCTACCCAAATCAACTTACAAATTACTTATTTAATTAATACTTGTTTATTCTTCTCATGATGCATACAGTGTATGTCATCCATTAATAAACTAGATGTGTCGGAATGCCACAAATGCCCCCGCAGGCAGCCAAAATGGAGCAGGACCAAATTCAAACTTGACCTGTATTTTCTGGTAAAATACCCGCATATGCAATTTCAACCTTATACATACATCCCTACAAAAGTTACAGAGCGGAAACTGAAAATTTCATATTTTTCTACGAGGGATGATCACGGCGGGTGTGAACGGCATCTGATCCCAACTCTGTTTTTGGAGGTCCATGTATTCCCTTGTAAAATACCTCTATATGCAAGTTCAACCTTATACACACATCCCTACAAAAGTTAGAGAGCGGAAACTGAAAATTTCTTTTTTTTTTCCAAAATCAATATGGAAAACTCTATCAAAAATTATCAGATCATGACTAAATTCAAACTTGATCTGCGTATTCCTGTTACGTATCCATATGTCAAATTCGAGTTGAATGTGTGTAATTGTTGCCGAGATAATGAACGGAAAGTCAATGAACAGGGTAACATTATATGCCCCTGGCCATTTTGAGGCGGGGGCATAAAAAGAAATTTGTCTCTTTATAGTCAAATCCTCTTCAGGTGGTTTAAAATTCCTTGGTAATGAATATACCTCATAAACTCTAGAAATTTTCTTTCCAATGGACGTGATCGGAAGGCCGTGGGTTCGAATCTCGGCCGCGACTGACCTAACTCGATAAAAATTAGGTAGCAACTGTTCCTTCGCCAAGCGCTCGGCACTTTGAAGTAAAAGTTGCGGGTCCTTCGGATGAGACCTAAAAAACCGAGGCTCCGTGTCACGGCAAGCTTTGGCACGATAAAGATCCCTCATTGCTCAATGGCCCTGAGTGCCAAGTAAAGGCCCTTCACCGGTATATGATGGAGTGTCTATACGAGTGAAAACTTCTCGAATGGGACGTAAACAACATACAATCAATCTTCCCAGTGGACGTTTCAAAATTTTGTCTTTTTGTTTTCCTCTGTAATTCTTAAAAAAAAAATATTAAGATAACCGTAACCAAGCTCAAAATACAAATTTTAAGCAGATCAAAATCGGATCTCTAAAAACATCAGAGGTGGGATCAGGTGCCATGGAGGAGTAAGCATCCCCTTGCACTCTCATGCTCTTGCTTATCATACCAACTGGGAGACATGAACTCCATATGCAGGTGATAAGGGTATATAAGGCTAAAAAAATAAGGGAGACGATAAAAGTTTTGTTGTTAGGTAACCGTTAAGCTAGCCTCAACAAATGTTATACATAAGCAAGACATAGCTGCACACGAAGCAATGTTCTTTTCCTAGTAAAATATCCAAATATGAAACAGATGTCAGACTCTTTGGTATCTTGTATTTCAAGTTCACTGGGATATATCGAATCGACATATGAATGGAAGTAAGAACTGTTAATTGATAATACGTCGCCGATATCTCTAATTGTCGAGTTGAAGGCCACAATCTATCTAGTCGTGAGAGTCGATGTACTTTCTCTAGTCCTGCGATGTACTTATAAGTTGTCCAGTAAGACCAGGTAAATTTCTCACATTAAATCCAGTTTTAAGTATTTTCAAAGCTGGAAAACCCAAACTTTAGATTCGGATTTCACGAAAACCATCTTTCTCTTTTGATATTTGCAATTAAAACATGCCATCTCTCCGATTTTAAGAATTACGATTGCTTTTTTCGTACAGTGTGTAATGTTTTGATGTAATATGTACTAATACGGAATTAATTGAGTTAACCGTTCAGTTTTAACTTTTACTATGTTATGAAAGAACCGGAATAAAGCAGTTCAGAAAGCGCACATGGTTGTGGCAGTCATGTTTGCAAGATTGTCTTAAATAAAATAAAATGGTGTCAGAAGTGAACACCGAATTATGGAACAGTTAAAACCTCCGTCGCACTTGAGTTTCGAAGGGAATGTAGCCGAAAACTGGAAAAAATGGCTCCAAGGATTTCGACTATACTTGATGGCGTCGGGAATCGACGAGAAAGCCGGTGTAAAGACGAATAATGACCCCCATAGAATAATGACCGGGGGGTCATATTTCAACGACAAAAAATGACCCCCCACCCGTAGAAAAAAATAATTTTTTGTAGAAAAAGAGACCTAGGGGTAAATTTTTTATGTGTGCGTCCTATAAAAAATTGACCCCCATTGAAAAATGACCCCCTTTCCAACAGAGTGCATGTACAAAATTTATAACGGGTGACTGATGCCAAGGTTTGAACCTCAATGTTTGATATTCTTCTTTATGCCTTTTTTGACCAACACTGGACGAACGCGCAATTAAAATGCAATAAAACCGCATTACATTTACCTGCATATTTCTATCTTTTAAGCCTATTGTGTTCTCAGCACATATTGAAAATCGCAAAATGGCTACTATTGGTTTTAACTGATAACGTAATTTCCCTTTATGACTGTCTTCCATTTGTTTCATATTTGGATATTTGACTGATTATAGACATTCATAGCTAAATAACAGACAAGCGGGATGTTCTGGCTTTTCATTGGTAAACATGTCTCCCAAAGTAATCAGCATGCTTTGAGTAGGATCAACCTTTTTTTAAAAAAAAATGAAGGGAAAAAAAGAATGAGATAAGTTTTCAGAAATAAATACGGAAAGTTATGCAATGTATTATATATGTAAATTTTGAATGACATAAAAAGTCGTGCAAATGA